GGACTCGCACTAAAGTCCACACCAGCAAGCTATTAGCTAGAGTGGACCAGGAGTTGAGGGACTTGAAGGAGAAGCATGAGTGCTTGTGGGGACAGTACAAGCTTAATCAGAAATTCTACAAGCACTCCGAGAAGATGAAGGATGAGAAACTGGGCGAGCTCACCAAGGAGCAGGTGAAGGTCAAGGAAGCACTCAACTCTGAGCAGGCTCAGAATCGGATTTTGTCAGAGGAGCTCGTGCGACAGACGCGGTTGTTGGAACAATGTCAGCTCGCACGGCAGGCGGATGAAGAGTTAATCCGCAGGTTACAGTCAGAGTGTGGCGAATTGAGAGCGCAACGTGCCGAAGCCGAATCGCAATTAGTGACGATTGAAGAGGATCGCAGGAAGGAGGCGGATCGCACGAAGGTGGAGACGGCGAGGCGAGTCGCCCACTGTCTCAAGGGCTACGCCCACTGGGAAGTGAAGGCGCAGGAGAAACTCACACTGCGTGAGTTTGAATTGCGCGCAGCCGGGTTGTTGTCAGGCGACAGTAGGAGTCGGCGGAAGGTAGCGAAGAAGCTCGAGGCCTTTCTGTCGAAGGCACAGGATACCATGTCCGTCCTCGAGGGGGAGGTGTCCGCGGCGTTGCAGCGGTTGGGACTGCGTAGTCGAGCGGAAGAGTGGCAGGGTAGGGAGTTAGTGCGCGGCAGTCGGCCGCGCAGGAGACGTAGTACAGGTTCCGCGGAGTGTAGTGTAGCGTGGTTCCGTGCAGGCGTGTAGCGTAGTGCAGTGTAGTGGTAGGTAGGACTTAGAAGGTATAAAATAGTTCCAGGCGTTTTGCCTGGGGTTCTTTCCCAAACTCAGGAGTATAGATCAGGAACCCATTTCCTTTGCGTGTTTGTGTCCTTGAGTTCTGTCACCACGCAGGAGGAGTTACAACTTAGCGTTCCGCATTTTGTAGCTGAAGGCCTTCGGCCGAATGTTCAGAGCTAGTACATTGGTTAGAGACTTGAGTAGTTCGGATCTGCACCTGCGGGTGACTGCCGATGCTCAGAGCCAGTGACTAGTTAGATACTTGAACAGTTTCGCCCCTACACCTTCGAGTGTGCCTTTCTGATTGTACTCCCTTGGGATTTTTCCCCTGAATGCCAAAGTGAAGTTTTGCCACTTCGTGTAAGCCTTGGTTGTAGATTCAGGTTACGCTGCAGCAGGTGCCTTGAGGGTAACCCCTGTAGTATTTCTGGGAATGACAAGTGCCTGAGAATTCAAACTCTTCAATAGACTGTTGTTGTGTTACTGGAATGTTTCACAGTGAGTCCTTCAGTGCGGACCTGTGTTCTCTGCGCGTTTTGTGAGCTGAGAGTGTTGTTCACCGCGTAGGAGTGACTTCGATCCGAAGTAGGCAGTCCAAACCGGGTTTCCTACACTAGCAGCAAGCTAGTGGAAGTGTTGTAAAAGCCGGAGTTGGAAGTCACTGCCCGCAGCTTTTGCCGAGTGTACTCTTGAGAGACTTTCCCCCTGAAATCTTGAAGTAGAGGTCCTAACGGATCTCTGGGTTGTGTTTCTGTAGTTTCAGGTGTGTGTGTGTGTGTGTGTGTTACGCTGCACTGTGCGACCTCCGAGTGCGCTCCGAGTGGACACTTGCAGTATTTCTGGGAGTGACAGTTGCCTGAGAATTCAAACTCTTCAATAGTCTGTTAAAACGTGACACTTTGTACCCTGTGTGTTCCTCTGTCCCTGTGGGTTCGACCTTTCTACCACTATATTGCAGTTTTAGCCTTTAGTGGGTTATTACACTACTCTTCTAGCTCAAATTTCAAAAAATTGAAGTTTTCTATCAATTATATCCATACATAGGATATAATAGACAAGAAAGTGAATATTCTCCTCGGTGAAACCAGCTATTCGAAGAGGGTGGTATCCATGTTACTCCTCTTTACTTGCTAACGTTGACTTGATAACAAAGCTTTGTAGCCGAGGCCCATCATATCAATCACGAGGCTTAACCCCATAATTGCCTAGTGTGTCTTCAACATCCTATTCCCAAACTAGCCCAATCTGGACATTGAAGAAATTTCATATAAGATAAAAGTACAACCAGTTAAGATCAGCTCTGCATTCTGCATGAGACGATCGTTGGTACTATGTTCAGTCAAAGCCCACGCGAGGGAGTCGTGAGTTGTAATTTTGAGTTGTGAGGAGGAGTCCACAAGTAAGACAAGATAAGGGAAAAGATACCAAGTTCGGGTACGAAAATACCGTTGTGAATGATGGGCAGATTGAACTTCTTTCCATACATCGTGATTGTACAGATGCAAGAATCTCTCAAAGAACACAGAAACTTCTTATGTTAGCTAGACACTCTAACTGATGATCCAGTTTACCACATTGGAAATAGAGGTATTATTTTTAAAAATACTATAGATGGAGATTCAACGTCGAAATTCGGATCAAATTGATTAGTATATCGGTTTGATTCGAGGAGCAAACCAGTGAAATTTTATTCATTGACAACTGAAATAATAGGAAAAAATTGTGGAATCATCCCATCTACCACTGAGGAAGCCTCCCGGAAGAAGAGGTCAATATACAAATGAAGATATGACTCGAAGCAGAGTGTTAGAAATCACTTCACACATTGTAATAGTAACCAGGGGTTGCACCAGCCAGCCTCAATAGAGGCTTGAATTTTAAATATTGTAACACTGGTCAAGCTCCTAAGATCTAGGCATTGGGAAACCCCGAGCAAGCTAGTAACTCTTTCTGTAGCAAATGTAAGTGAATGAAACACAAGTTGGTGCCATATCGCGAAAGGCAACTTGGAATTAAGCTGGTCTGTTTGGCAAGATCGTCCATGCTGACAGTAACCGTACGTCTATTTTTAATGAACTATAGATTTGTATCTACAATCTCCATTGCTGCCTTCAAATCCACAAAGGTCATGCTCTAGGAAATAATGTATGAGAAATTGAGATGAAATCTCAGGATGGCGGGGACATGTCACCAGTCTATGACATTCTGTAGAATATGCAACCGTTCAGATTGCCAAAGCTCCATACTCTAATTCCTCACGCTCACATACCCGCCGCCGAGATAAAAATTTCAATACACAAAGGTGGGTACATGTCCAATAACGTGTAATGTTTTCTGAATATCGAACAATCTAACATTGAATGAGAGTTAACACGAAGATTAGATTTCGTAATACAATGAGTTCATGGTGATGACCTGCGGATCATTGTACTGTTGAGTACATAAAATTTGATATTATTTTAATTGTGCAAAATGAAAATTACATTTCGAATCCAAAGCAAATACATTGGGAAGCAATGTAATGTATTTCAATGTTCTTAAAGAGTACTTAAAATGATGGGAATTTCTTTGATGCATTGTTAAACAATTCCAAATACTTGCTTAGTGTTGATTACGACAAGATCTAGACAAGAAAAACTCATTACATGCAGATTTACTTCGCAAAAGTACAGAACTTAGTATATAATAGAAACTGAATATGTACTGATAACATAAACTACAAAAGAAATCAATCGACCAAATTGGCTTATCATTAGACTAACATTGAAACTTGTAATTGAAAATCTTTATCATAATAATCAAAGTGTATTATATGTTGTTGTAAATCAAGTGATATATAAGAGAATGAAACTCATCAATTATCATTTAATTAGAAATACAAATTTTTATTAAAAAAATGAAATTTTTCAACATTCATGATAAATTCAATCGAACTGATTTGGTGACCAAAGTTAGTAATATGAAGAGTTTATAATACATATTTGTACTTTGTAAATTGAGGAAAACCAGTAGACTTTATTAGCGAATTTGTTACCTCCGCATATTTGTACTACGTTTTTTTTAGCTACGGTTTAATTCTAGTGAAATTAAGTTTAAATTTGGCTTTATTTCAAGAATACAGCGCCGACAACCAGGAGAAAAATAAACAGCTGTTGCCGCTGCTTAATCGGGTGGATGCTCACACGCTCTCTCGCAAGCCAGGAACTCCCGAAGGAAGTGTTGCGCGTCTTGCCTTTTGGGACCTGATCCGCTAAGTTTTATAGCGACGTCATGGTGACGCCGAGCCGCAGCTTTTGACGTCTTCTGGGCCGCCTTCATTGCCAAAATGGACGTCTTACTACAATTCCACAGGTCAGGCTCCAAGTGAATAGACAGAGATGACTGTCTGGACCCAAAACTCATCTTCCGGCATAAGCCACAACTAAAAACGCATTTCTTATAAGCAGTATCACTACTTGTGACGGACATTTCCGGATTCCTCTCTCCACTGTCGCCTGCTTCTCCCTCTCTCTATCTCCTTTCCTCCGTTTCTCACGCTCTCTGGCTTTCAACAGTTGGGCGTCGAGAAGGCGGCTGAGCTTGATGTTCGAGTCGTGCAGTTCGGGCAGGGTGCACCCGTGGCGGCTATATCCTCAAAATGGGCTTCCTCTCTGCCGTCCCATGTCGCTGAGTGAGAGCGGGAATGTAAATTTCCTGAAGCTTCGTCCAGAACTCCACGAGGTCCCCAACCGCAACCTTAACCACTATTCCTTCTGTGGCGGCCGAAGGAAGCACTGCGATCGGGTCCACAGGGCTGTCGTGATAAGTCCGAAATGCTCGGTGCCTGACTGCTATGTACTCTTGCCAATATATTTCTCCGAGTCTCACATTGGCCCCTGGAGACTGCGCCGGCTCTAGCCTTCGCTCTAGCCAGCCGAGCCAAAATTTTGAAATTCCCAACGACGGGATCACCAACACCATGCCTCGATCGACCGATAAACAGACCGGTGAGCATTTTCTAAGAATCCAGTCAGGACGGAAACTGCGGCATGGGGAACAGTCCGATTTTAAACTGGGGGCATGCAGCTCTCTGACTCCAGGAGGTCCCGAGCTGCACCAGGCAAGCTTGTTGGACAGTTGGCAGTTGATGGTCCATTGTGGGCTTTTCTGTGCTAAACCAGGTGCCAACGATGTGGCTAATGCTTTCGGAACGTCCGTCGGGAGCAAAACCCTCACGCTGAGGCAGGCCGTCATTGTAAGGAGAGCATGCTGCCCCTCACCATCCAGCTGAGCGATCCAAGCTGATGAAAGTCGCGATAGGCTGGAGTCGCTCTAAGGTACGAGTGCGAGTAACAAATGCAAGCAGAGCATTGTGTCTTCTAGATTCTATAGAACGTAGAAGATATTATAGATGATACTTTTAAGCTGCTGAAACGTGGATTGTCTGATCAGACCGACTGACATTCCATCAACTGAAAACTGACTTGCAGATTGCGACTCTATTCGAGTTTGCCGGAGCCCTTCTTCTAGGAAGAGTGTCGACGAAACCATCGCATCCGGTATAGCGGACATCAACTCCTTCATCCCTGACCCGGAGGTTTATGGTTATGGCATGGTCTGCGTCTTGGCAGTAGGTACAATGTGGCTTCTCATTCCTTCATACTTGGGACTGAACGTGTCGTTCTAAGGGGGCGAGGCATGTGTCCACTCCATTTGCGAAGAAATCTGTGGGTGGTTTATCGACTGGGTGAGAGCAAGGAGAACTTATGTACATATGATTCTCTCCTTGGTAACATCATTATGGCATTCGTCTATTTACTCGGTATTTTAGCAGTTGCGCCATGCTCTCGCGGTTTAAAGCTACTTCCCGACAGAGGTATCGTAGGAGTAACCAGTAATTGGCTCTCATACTTCGTACCTATAGAAAGTGATTGTTGTATTTTGAGTTCTTGGACTCGTGTCCTTCAGGTGACCTCTGTTCTCGATCGTTGATATGTGCAGAATGACCAAAGGTGAGAAAGTTCTTCACAAAAAGTGGAGCAAAGCTTCTTCGAGAGGCCGGGGAGGCTCGGAAAACTTTTCCTGCGAGTACAAGGGAGTGCGTCAGCGGACTTGGGGCAAATGGGTAGCAGAGATTCGGGATCCATGGAAAAGAATAAGAGTGTGGTTGGGTTCTTTCAACACTAAGGAGGAAGCTGCAGCGGCTTATGACCGGAAAGTTTTAGAATTTTTCGGTCCTAATGCTCACTTCAATTTGCAGAGTTCTCCTGCAGCTCTTCAATCCAATCAGAACACCGTCTTTACGCCATTGTTCTCCGTACCTTTGAAAACTTTAATATCAAAAACAGATTCATATTCTCAACCTCAAGTTTCTGAAATTTCTGTGAGTTATCACTTGGGTTTATTTTTTATCATTTATGCCACACATTGTGTGTTTGTGTTTAAATTTATTTGTAGAACGAATGGTCTCATGATTCTATTCCTACTACTCTTATATCATCCGGATGTATATTCTTGTAAGTTTTGTTGATTTTTTTGTGAAATGATTTGTTATTGTGTTACAACAGGAGCCGCTGAAAACTGAAGCATTTTACACGAATTCGAACTCGAATAAAACTCTAGATTCTTTTATACCTTTAGAAGTCAAAGGCGTGAATAAAAGCGAGGAACTTCCACCTCTAGAGGTGGAAGTTACTCCGCTAGACACTGACTTCAAAAATTTGGACAAAGAACCATATTTTGATTTCGCATCGCTTTTGGATCTGGATGAGGTGAGTTGTATTGATTTTATGAATTTGTTATATACACTGAAAGTAAAAATTGAATGAATTGCTACTCCTCAGAAGAAAATAGAGGAACATTGCATAACTCAACGACGTACTTTTTTTGAATGTGTTATGTCAGGTCTTATCATGTCGCACTAATCTCTCGGAGACTGAGAGAAGCTGAGCCTCTTTGGTCGGGCTAATTTATCGAGCCAGGTAAATCTCGACCTGAACATCTGGTTGATGTCATTTATTCCATTCTCGAGAGAGAAGCTCCGGTTATTATACTGAACACCTATAATTGTACTTTACACATATATGTACGAATATATATTCTTTACGACAATCGTCGTATTCTGTCTTTTTGTGTGTGGAACAGTACTAGGTATGCGGTCTGAGCTATTCTGACATGAATGAAGGACTGGCGATAAAGATATAGGACTTGAGCAGAGCGCTATTACATCGATATGTACGGATGAATGAGTCCACATAGCACACAAGTAGCAGCAGTAATCTGACGCACTGGATTTGTTTGGCATGTACAGCTGTCAAGGTCTGCTGATGGATACAGACAGCTTGAGCAAGTCAGCGACTTCCACGAGCCCTGACCACCAAATGCTTTTGAATCTGTCCACAGGAGCAGGCTCGTTATGCCAATTTGGTCTACTAGATCAAAGTGAGTATTCACTCACTCAATCAATCATAGCTTTCGGTGAAAACGCTTGTGCTCTCAGTCAACTTTTAGTAGTATCAGCCGTCAAAATGTCGGGTCTGTCAGACGCTTCATCCGGGTGCGAACTCATCTTCGTCTTCTTTTTGTCTTCGTCTATGATCCAGTGAGAACGGTATATTTAGATCCAGAGGTTCTGAGAATGGCCAAAAAATACCACGGGATGATAAAGACAATGTACAATGTACAGATGCGTCCCATCCCACTCCTCTTCCTTCGGCACGCAAAGCCAAAAAGTTCAACGAAACTACTCTCGCCCAAAGAGAGTCCTCTCTCTTCAGAAGCGAGGCGAAAGACACCTCCAGATCCTCCCGCTCGCCGACTTCCAATTCTTCTTCGTCTGAGAGACCCGCTCCAATAACTCCGCCACCACCCATACCACCGACAAGCCGTCAACTTCGACTTTCAACTGCAGGGCCATGCATACTATACGGTTCATGTACTATATTGTTATACGACAAAACACTTGACAACTGCAGTATGCATATTCTCCAAATGTTTCTAGTACTGTATGTACCACTGACGGTACATTGACATCATCACTGTAATGTTATAGCTACTCCTTCAATAAAAATACAATATGTTTCTTTGAAGGGACTTACATATCAATTTAGGGATTACCCTAAATTGTCTATATTTTATGTTTGTAAAGTTGATAAAAAAGCCGGTGAGATTTGGCTTGGTGGGTAATATTCTAGTGAGAACATATGCTGAAAACTATAATGAAGATCTATGTAATGTTAAAAATCTATTCATAAATTACTTCAGGTGCTGTGACCTCTTCAACTATAATTAATTTATGGATTAAAAAAAATCTGGGTTAAAAATTGTTTATTGTTGTATTGTCATGTATATCTTGTTGTTCTCTATCAGTGCCAACTAAGTAAATGTAGAACCATCTTTACAAGTACACCACTAAGATCTTTTTTAAACCAACTCTGATGGTCTTTCAATGCGATTTTCTAGAAAATTGATTTATGGTGCAAGTGTATAAATCAGTCGATCTAACTAGCGTGAAACTATTCATACATTAAGATTTTAGCTTGTCACCCTTTTGATTTATCTCTTTTCCTCGTCGATTTTAGAAATTCGTCATGACGGACTGTCTTAATACATTGCTGAGTGTATTAAGACTGTAGTTCCTTACAGGTGTTCACTTATCACTATGTACATCTTTCAGAATGGCGATATATTTCTATTTTAGTAAGATAAAAACAGGTTTCTTAGTATCAGAAACAACTGGTACTAAATAAGAACAATCCAGAAAATAGAATAAGACGAAGATAACCAACAGAATTGTCAGTTGCTTTAGGGTTTCTTTGGTCTTAAGTTCGTGGAAAGATGGGGAAGGTGGATACCCCCGATATGAAATCACTATGCACTATGAACTGATTGCACTATGAATTCTAATCTTCTTGTTAACTCTCACTCAACGGCTTTTTGGATGAATTTCGTATCAACTCTCACTTAGGTGGATACACCCGGTATGAACTCACTATGAACTTATGAACTCATTGCACTTTGAATTCCAATCTTCGTGTCAACTCTCGTTCACACGGCTTTTTCGTGTTAACACTCACTCATAGGACATTTTGGATGAATTCCGTATTAACTCTCGCTTAGGTGGATACACCTAAACTCACTATGCACTATGATCTAGTATGAACTCTTTATGCACAATGAACTCATTGCACTATGAATTGTAATCTTTGTGTTAATTCTCACTCACGAGGCTTTTGGATGAATTCCATATAAACTTTCACTTAGTTTTAATTCATCATGATTCTAGAATATAAAGATTCATTTACATTCTCAGTCCCAAACACCATCTCATGCAAAATCTCCACTCCACCAAACACTCAATCCAATTGTGAGTTCAATTATGAACTCAATTATATAGTTAGCACTAGTTAGTAGACAGAGAAAAAGAAAAAGAAAAAGAATTAATAGATTAATAGTATGTTAGTAGTCAGAGGAATCGGACTATGGTTTTGGATCCGACGAAGAATTGGAGATTGACAATGAGGTTGTGCAACCGCACCTTGAGGGATATGATGTGTTGACCTCTCAAGAAGGCAAGCAGTTGGACACAAGACAACAGTTGAATGGAGTTGGGCCGCTGCATTTAGGCAAACAGGAGGCTAAGTTTCTGAATGAAACAGAGAATGAGAGGAGAGAAGAAGCGGAGAGCGGTGAAATTGAAGAAGAAAAGGATGAGAAAGATGATGGAATGGTGATGCAGCCTCTTCCGAGCTTTGTCTTAGCAAACAACAACCATTCTTGTGAGGGAAAGGTAAGAGAGACTAGAAGAAAGCACCGTAAAGCTGATTTGGAGGATGGCGAGCTTGACGACGTGGCCATGGTGATCCTAATTCTCTTACTCTTTGTTCTTTATCTTGCTCCTCCTGTTGTGCCTACTACTACTACTGCTATCTTTTGCCCTTCTTTTTTCCTTTGTGAACAGCCCCCTTCTCGCAAGCTGGTCTTGGTTCCTCCTCATCCGAGCCGCTGAGCTCTTCCTGTCGTCCCTGGACATTACATGTGGCTAGTGTTGAAAAGAGTTCTGTGACACCATCTCCTTTTGTAATAACCCACCAAAGGCTAAAACTGCAGTATGGTGGTAAAAAGATCGAACCCACAGGGACAGAGGCAACACACAGAGTACAAAGTGTCACATTTAACAGACTTTTGGAGAGTTTGAATTCTCATGCGACTGTCACTCCCAGAAATACTGCAAGTGCTCAACTCGGAGGCTACTCGGAGGATGCTCAACTCGGAGGTCACTCGGAGGATGCTCGACTCGGAGGTCACTCGGAGGATGCACAGTGCAGCGTAAGTCACTCAACACACACACACCTGAAACTGGAAAAGCACAACTCGGAGATTGGTCAGGACCTCCGGTTAGGATTTCAGGGGGAAAGTCTCTCAAAAGTACACTCAGAGGCTCTGCAAGTAGTGACTCCCACTCCGGCTTTTACAACCCTCCCGCTAGTTTCTGCTAGCGTAGGGAACCCGGATAGGACTTCCCACTTCGAAACAAAGTCACTCATACGCGGTGGACGTCACCCTCGACTCACACTAAGCGCAGAGAGTACAGGCCCGACTGAGAACTCAACTGAGACACAATCCAGTAACACACACACCACAACAGTCTATTGAAGAGTTTGAATTCTTAGGCACTTGTCATTCCCAGAATTACTACAGAGGTGTACCCTGAGGATGCCTTCTGCAGCGTAACCTGAATTGATAACCAAGGTTTACACGAAGTAACAAAACTTCACTTTGGCATTCAGGGGAAACGTCCCGTAGGAGTACAATCAGGATAAGTCACTCAAAGGTGTAAGGGAGAACTGTTCAAGTATCTAACTCACAACCGGCTCTAAGCATCGGCAATCACCCGCAGGTGTAGATCCGCAGTACTCAAGTCTCTAACCGGTATACTAGCTATGAACATTCAGCCGAAGGCCTTCAGCTATAAAATACGGTAACTTCACTAAGTTATAGCTCCTCTACGTGGTGCCAAGACTAAACGCACAAAGACGCCGAGAAAGTGAATTCCTGATCTGCACTTCCGAAACTGGAAGAATCCCAAGGCAAAACGCCTTGAACTACTTTATACCCTCTAAGGTCCTAACTAACACTACGCTGCAATACCTGCTACTCTAAGCGCCTGCACGGAACCAAGCTACACTACTGCAATCTTCAGATCCGGTACTGCGCCTTCTGCGCGACGGACTGCCGCGCACTATCTCCCTACCCTGCCAATCTTCCGACCGGCTGCGCAACCCCAGCCGCCGAAGGACCCCAGTCACTTCCGACTCCAAGTGCGCCATAGTATCGCGCGCACCCGACAAGAAGGCCTCTAATTTCCTCGCCACTCGCCGCCGACTCCGACTGTCACCCTCCGTCAACGCCGCCGCCCGAAGCTCAAACTCCCTGAGCGTGATCTTCTCTTGTGCCGCCACTTCCCAGAGGGTATATCCTCTAAGACAGTGGGTCACCCGCGCCACCAACTCTTCTCGCGTCCGATCCGCATCGCGCCGGCTGCTGCCTTCCACCTCTGCAAGCTGCATCTTCGCATCCGCGCGCTGCGCCCTCAATTCCGCGCACTCGGATTGCAAGTTGCGCAACAACTCCTCATCCGCCTTGCGCGTGCTTTGACCTTCCTCTAATGCGCGCGTCTGGCGCGCAAGCTCCTCTGTTAGAATGCGGTTTTGTCTCCGCTCTTCCTGCAATTCCAACTCAATCTTTGCCCGCATTAGCTCGACATCCTCCTGGGCTTTCGTCGCCGCATCCTCCCGCTGTTGTTGCAGGGTTGTTGTAGCCTCTTCGTGATCGCCAGGTGCTATTGGAGGGCAGTATTTCTCATCTCCAACGTTTGGCACCTAGTGGCCCAAATGGCCATCTTGCTCCTCGTCCTATTCCTGACTAACTCCACATAAGACTGCGGTTTTCTGGGGTTCGCGTACTTTGCTGCCTTGCGATTCAAATATCGCATGAGTGGCACTATCTGCTCGCACAGTACCCCTGTTGGCGTCCCACGCACAAAGTCCGCTTCCTGTTCTTCCGAACTCGTTTCATCCTCTGTTTCGAGGATTTCAGTCGCCACAGAAGCTCTTGGCGACTCCCTGGAACTGTGGCGCGCGGCAGCTTCCGCCGCGACTGCCGCTCCACTCCCTGCTAAAATATCCAAGGCAGTGGGGGATCCCACTGCCTGAGCTTCCGCTCCGGCTTGATCTCTTGTTCCCGAAGGGGTCGGCGCCGCAGTCTCTCTTGTCGCCTCTGCACCGCCCACTTCTGCTGCCTACTCCTCCGGCGCGATCTGCGCGGAAGG